TGTGTTTGCAATATGTGTATCTTTATTATCTGGGGAGGGGGTTGGAAATGGGATCACACATGGCTGTCCTCAGTCATGGCTTATTCCTACTCCCAGGGATCAGTCCTTCTGGTAGTGTTTCAGGGACAATATGTGGTACTGGGTAATCAAACCCAGGTCAGCAGCACTTGAGACAAGAGCCTTTTCTCTCTGGCTTCAGTATATTTATCTTTAATTGATATCAGTGAAAAAAGAAAAACAATTAGGGGAAATGATTTATACTGCAGAATAAAATCTACCAGATTTAGCTTTCTTTTTTTTGGGGGGGGGGGGAGATTAGATAACATTCTTAATATAAATCTGACACCAATCATTACACATAGATTAATAACATACCAGATCGCAGGTGATTATAAAAATAGCTCTTAAGCAGCAATATTTTTTAATTGACATTACATATTCCAAAACAACTAGAGAAAAGGTTCCTTAGTCTCATATATAGTACCTCCCTATCTTGGTTAAATGAGAATTCGTTTAAGTTGCAGAATACAGAGATAAGGAGATAGAACTGTTGCACAGTTTTGCCAAATGAGCAGATTACTTTTCAACTTAACTTTAGGGAAGAAATGAAGGAAAATATCACATGGAAGGAGATGGAGAGCCCCCTTAAGCACTTCAAGTACAAAAAAACTGAGGAATTCTGAACTGAACTGGAAGTAAAAATTATGTGGAATTTGGGGCCAGAGCAATACTGGCCAGAGCCAGTACGGGACTTGCCTTAAGATGAAGCAAACCCTGCCTTGATCCCCAGCATCCAATATGGTTCCTGAACCCTGTCAGGAGTGATTCCTGAGTGCAGAGGCAGGACTAAACCCTGAGGTGTGTGCCCCTCTCTCTCCAAAAAATTTATACAGAAGTTTCAGATAATCTAATCCCACTATTCTAACTTCATAAATTCTGTCACAAAGTTCTATTTCAAAATGCAAGATGGCCAATTCTTATTTACTGGCTACTTTCAAAGCAAACCATCCTCTATCTTCAGAGAGTAAAAATCCATATTATGGGGCTGAAGAGCTAGTATAGGATGATCAGGTGCTGTCTTGCACGCCATTAACCCAGGTTCCATTCACAGCTCCACCAGGACTAGCCCTGAGTACCAAAAACTGTATTGTAACTAGAAAATAACTGGCCTCGTACAATTGTAGTATCACTCAACCTGTTCTACAAACACCTTCCGAGAAACCATTTTTACTATCTGAAACTATCTGAAAGTCCCATATTCTATGGACTCATCCAGAGATTAGCACTGTCTATAGCACTGTCCTCCCGCTGTTCATCGATTTGCTCGAGCGGGCCCAGAAACGTCTCCATTGTGATACTTGTTGTTACTGTGTTTGGCATATCGAATACATCATGGGTAGCTTGTCAGGCTTTGCCATGCGGGCGAGATACTCTTGGTAGCTTGCCGGGCTCTCCAAGGAGAGGAGGAACCAAACCTGGGTTGGCCGGGACAGTGCTACAGTGCTCTATAAGTAATATACTAAAAATCTAATGATTAACAGAAGATAAAACAGAAAATTAAACAGCTTATTTCAGAGTAAAAATTAGATCCATTTGTTTGTTACAAACAGATCAGGCCACAGAACTAGCCCAGAGGGCTGGAGCACATGCTCTCTATGCAGGAGGTCTGAGGTTTGATCTCCAGCATCACATGGTCCCTTGAGCACTACTGATGGTAATCAATTGAGCACAGAGCTGGGAGTAGCCCCAAACATTGTTGGTGTGCCTTCCTAAGCCTCCATTGCAAATAATACAAACAAACAAACAAACACACACTGTCCTCCCATTGTTCATCATGGGTAGCTTGTCAGGCTTTGCCATGCGGGCGAGATACTCTCGGTAGCTTCCCAGGCTCTCCAAGAGGGGTGGAGGAATCAAACCCCGCCCAGCCACGCTGGCTGCACGCAAGGCAAACGCCCTACCGCTGTGCTATCGCTCCAGCCCCATTGCAAATAATAAAAATTAAAAATAAATCTATCTTTCATATGTAACAATTAATAAATTGTGGTTCCTGGTAAAAGTTTCAAAACAAATTTAACGTAACAATATATTTTTTTTAAAATTCAGAGATTTTAATCCAGAGATTAATCCTCAATAAAATCTATTACTACTGTTAATTTCCACAATTCTGCATGTTCTCTTCAATATATCCTCTTCCACCATCCTAGGACTTTCCGCCATCCTGAGACATTCAAATGAACAAGTACAGGGGCTGACGAAAGAGGGTAGGGCCCTGACTTTGCATGTAGCCATTAGCTGGGCTCGTTTCCTGGCACCCCATACAGTCCCAGGAGCTCTCCAGGAGTGATCCCTGAGCACAGAGCCAGGAATATGCCCTGCGCAATGCCAGGTGTAGTCCCCAAACTAGAAACAAAACAAAAATCAACAAGTATTGTACTATTTCCCAAGTTTTCTAACAGCCAAAAGGAATAACATTTTAACAGAATTTTGTTATCAAATTCATATGAGGTCATGGTTCTTTCTAGGTGCTTATACCAGTCTCGTACTTGGACCTCTTGTCGCTCACCTACTTATATTATACAGCTCTTTTCTCTTTAAAAATATGTGAATCACTTTTACAGCTTAGCTTTTTTGCCCCACAAAATATTCAGCTATCATCTCTTAAAATTACAGTACTGATACACTTAATTCTATCATGCTAAATAATTTAAGGCAAGTAATTTTCAGTCTTCTGATCCATGTTGACTTAGAGTTCCCTTTGTTAACATTCATTCTTATTAAGACAAATTCCTCCATTTAAAAAATAATAATAAACAAAGTATAAGGTACTCTGATGTTTGCTCTAATATCAAATTCGGGCCTATCTCTCAAAATCTTCTTTCAAAATTAACTTCAAGAGCACTTAAAATGATAAAACTTTAATAAGCTTGCTCATTCAGAAGCAACAGTTCAAAACATCCAGCTGGTGAAATAGTTGAACAGTATGAGGGCATGCTTTGCATGCAGGACACCTGGGTTCCATTTCTGTGTTCTGTTACATTTACAGTTTTTGTGTTTTTTTTTTTCTTTTTGGGTCACACCTGGCGATGCACAGCAGTTACTCCTGGCTCTGCACTCAGGAGTTACTCCTGGCGGTGCGCATGGGACCATATGGGATGCTGGGAATCAAACCTGGGTCGACCGCGTGCAAGGCAAACGCCCTACCCACTGTGCTATATCTCCAGCCCATGTACAGTATTTTTGTACTGTACAAAATTACCCTTTATTAGCCAAAATAGACTCACAGTAGTGTTTTTATGTATTTCTTCAATTCTCTTGAGAAGCAAAACTCAAAACATACCAAAAATTCTACTTGTTGACAGCATATATATAAAATTATTATTTGGCAAACTGATGCCATCTCAAAATAAATTACTGAGCACTACTTTGGAAATAGTACCATTTTTCAAGGGAACAAAGAGCCCCACCCATTACACCAAATGTCTCAATCACCCTCCCCCAACCCCCATTACTATAGTGTTCCTTCTGGGGGGAAGAGAGCATTATCGCCCATTTTGGGGAACACTGGTCTAGACCCTAATTTTCCTACACTGCGGGTTTGATCCCATATGTGTCATGTAATTGAAAGCGAGCGTCATAAAAATTTGGCAATAGTAGAGCATTTTTCAACATATAGTGACCAAACATTAATTCAAAATTACATGTGCATGGATTGTTTCTGGCATTACTCACCCATGTTGTATTTCTCAAGCCAAAAGGGTTAGTGAGAGAAAAAATACGTTTTAGGGAATGCAGTATAGATTAATTCCCCAGATCTTTATTCATTTTAGTTTTTGATTCTAAAACCATCTACACGGGTTTTTTGAAAAAAGAATAGCACAGGCCAGAAAGGTAGTACAGTGAGAGGGATGTCTGCTTTGCAGGTACTCAACAGGGGTTTGGTCCTCAGCACCCCATTTAGTTCCCTGGGCCCCACCAGGAATGATCCCTAAGCACAAAGCCAGGAGTAAGCCCTGCACACCACTCGGTAGGGCATAAAAATAAGCAACCAAAACCAAAAAAAGTAGTGCACTGGTTCACTTAAATAAGCCATATGAACAGACCATAACCCTACGCATTGAAAATTACAGGGACCTAATTTCAACCTTTTCAGGTGTTATGAAAATCTCAATTGCATGTTTTCTATACATAGTATAAGATACTACTAGAGTGTTAACAGATATTCATTCAATATACTGAAAAGACTAATTTGTCCCAATAATTCTAACATTTCAGCATCAATTTTTAGGATAAGTTTAAAAATAATTTTGAATTAAAACCTAGATTCTCCAAGACAAGTTTTCCCTTTTCAGTAAAAAAAAAAAAAAGAAAAATCTAATAAAATTTTATCAATTAGAAAAAGAGGGAATTAAGAGTGACTGATAATGAAAATGGGGTTTATTTCTGGGAAGATAAAATGCTCTAAACTTAATTTGTGATAATGTACAATTCCACAAATTGACAAAAGTTAAATTTAATCCTTTAAATAAACTGTCTCTAGCATTATCTCAATAAGCCATTTAAGAAGTATTTCAGGGTCTGGAGCAATAGGACAGCCGCTTTCCTTCATGCAGCTGATCGAGGTCAATCCCCAGCATCCCATATGGTCCCCAGAAACTGCCAGGAGTGATTCCTGAGAGTAGAATCAGGAGTAATCCCTAAATAACACTGAGTATGCCCCCATAACCAAAAAATATAAATAGTATTTTAACCTCACTCTAATTACATTACATGGTATCAAAAAACTCTGAAAAAGAAACCATTACATCATAAATTAAGTTAGATATGAGGATATTAAAAAAAGAATCTACTTAGGAGCCAGAGTTGACTGAATACTAGGAAACCCTTATTTTAAAACCAACCAAACAAAAGATAAGACAGACTGAATATAACCCCTACATGACTCCTCCAGGAAGACTATGACACAAAAACATGAAGTCCTCAACAGCATGAGCACTTACTCATCATACTCGATATGATAAATAACGTCTTCATCAGCAGCAACAGAGTCTGAATTAGACGTAGAGGGCACACTGTCCAATTTATTTGTGTTTTCTTTGGAATTAAGATTTACATTTCCATTAGTCCTTTTACAAGAACTGCCATTCTTCAGTGGAGTTTTGCCACGTGAATGTCCATCAGAAGCTCTAGTAACACTATGTATATGTGCTTCAAACCAAGCACCAAGGCCGACATCTCTGGCATCCACCAATTCATTTACCTAAAAAAAGTTTAAAATTAGTTAATGAAGCTTAATTTCATCTGCTGCTTCAAAAACCTTAACTCAAGTTATTTCAGGATTATCAGGTTAACAATATTTACACCTTACTCATCTAAAATAATCTCAAAAATTAGATCCAAATTACTCTTTTTGGATCATACTCTCTTAAAGTTCTTATTTACTAGTATGAATATTATATACTCTCAATTTTCTCCAAGAGGCATTTTAACTGCTCCTTATTCATGTCTACTTTAGACACTTTTTTACTTTTGTGGTCTCCAGGACTGAACCCAGGTCTCACATGTTTGAGGTGTGCATTCTATCACTGCACCGGGACCCTACATTAGACTTTTAAAAATATAACTTTTATGTATGTAAGTCATTATAGTAGGTCATTTAACAAAGAAAATACTGCTAGAAAACCAGGAGCCAGAAAGATAGAATTAGTAGGTAAGTCTTGCACGGGGCTGACCAGAGTTCAATCCCAGGTACCACATACAGTCCCACGACATAGCCAGGAGTGATCCCTGAGCATGGAGCCAGGTTAAGTCCTGAGCACCACCAGGTGTGGAACCCCACCCCCAAATTAAAATTGAATAAAAAGTCACAACTTTGTATTAATTTGTTCCCTTAATTTCTTCACAATGATAAAGATTATTTAGAATCACAGTCCAAACAAAAAATAGTAATGCACTAAACAGGAAAATAAAATTTAAATGATGGAATAAAAATACTACATAATCAATATTAGCATATGATTCAGAGCTAAAGGCAGTTTGAACAAAGAAAGCCAGCATTAAGAAACAAGCATGCTCCTCTCTTCATAGTACAGGAGGTAAAGGCATCTGCCTTGAGTGCCACCAAATGCTATTTGATCCCCAGCACAGCAGGGTCCCCCCCCAAACACCACCCAGTAGCACCCTGAACACAGAACCGCGAGTAGCCTCTGAGGACCACCAAAAAAAATGAGTGTTTGGATAAATAAATGTTCCTCTCCCCCTCCAATGACATTATTGGAGTGGTACCTAATCAAGTTGACTCTGAGGGTTTCGGAAACCATGAAAGGAGTGGAACAGACTGAACAGTCTGTGTGTGTGTGTGTGTGTGTGTGTGTGTGTGTGTGTGTGTGTGTGGTGGGGGGAAGGGTGGAAGAAGGGATTATAAAGTAAGAGTTTGAATATCTATCCATATGCAAGGTGTTATACAAAAATCCTTACTTAGGCTTGCCTAGCTCTATCCTTGATTCCTATTTTTAAGAGATAAATTTTTTTTTTTTTTTTTTGCTTTTTGGGTCACAAACCAGTGATGCACAGGGGTTACTCCTGGCTCACGCACTCAGGAATTACTCCTGGCGGTGCTCAGGGGACCATATGGGATGCTGAGAATTGAACACGGGTCAGCCATTCGCAAGGCAAACTCCCTATCTGCTGTGCTATTGCTCCAGCCCCAACTCTGGTACATCTACATAATGGAATACTATGCAGCTGTTAGGAGAGATGAAGTCATGAAATTTGCTTATAAGTGAATGGACATGGAGAGTATTTGCTAAGTGAAATGAGTCAGAAAGAGAGGGACAGACATTGAATGACTGTATATGTTTGTGGAATATACTGTGAGACTGACACCCAAGGACAGCAGACACAAGGGCCAGGAATTCTGCCCCATAGATGGAAGCCTGTGTCATGAGCTGTGGGAAAAGGTAGCTGGAATAGAGAAGGGATCACTAAAGACAATGATGGTTGGGGAGATCTTCGAGATGGCAGATGCGTGCTGAAAGTAGATAAAGGACCAAATGTGATAACCTCTCAGAATCTGTATTGCAAACCATAATGTCCAAAAGTAGAGAGAGAGTAGCACTGTAGCACCATCGATTTGCTCGAGCGAGTATGGTGGGAAATGGTGGGTCTGTCATGGAGGCAGGGGGAGCGTTGGAGTGGGGGGTGGGGTATACCGGAGACATGCACGGGTGGAGGGATGGGTGTTTGATCATTGTATGACTGAAACTCAAACATGAAAGCTTTGTGACTGTATCTTGCAGTGATTCAATTAAAAAATTTTTTTCCAGAAGAAGCTACTGAAATGTAAGCTACAACTTAAAAGTACCTTGAGTTTAAGGCATATATCCTCGATTTCTAGACAATATATGATAATTTAAAAATAATCAGAATATCAAAGATTAAAGTTAGGAACTTAGAAAAAAGATATTTAAACTATATAAAAAAGAGTCAAATCATATCAGCGTAGATGTTAATGAGAAAGACAGATAAAACCAAAATAATCACTGCCAGAGTAGTATGACATTTTACCAAAAACACTCTAAGAATCAACACTGTAGCAATAAAACAGTGAAATATAGATCCAATTTAAACTATGAATGATGAGTTTAGGAGAAAAGGCTGAAGAACTAAGTAGGATTAATGGAGGAAAAAAATCAGATGAAATATGGTAAGAGTTCAGATATTAAATACATGCAGAAATAGTGACTGAAAATTTCAAAGACATTTAGGTCACAGAGCTAAAACAAAACATGTCAAAAGATCTATCACTGTTGAGAGAACTAACTAAGGCTACTACTTTTTGATAGAAAATTAAGATACAAAGGGATTTCATATAGTACTAAAGATATAAAGCTAGCAAAGAATCGAGGGTATAATACTGTAACTGATAAAAAAAACACTTAGCAATAGAAATCTTACAATGTAAAATTGTAAGAGGCATCAATAAAAATTAGAATTTCATATTTCTACCAAATATAAGAAACATCACTTCTAAAGGAGAACTTAATCACTTGAAAGTCTAGGCACTCTCTAAGGAAAACTAGAATTTAAACTACAAACAGTAACTTAAGAGGTAGGAGAAATAGTACAGGACCCAAGCCTGATTTGGTTCCCAGTAACTGCACTTGGTCTCCTGAGTATGGCTGGGGTCAACTCCTGAGCAGATAGGAATATTTCCAAAGCACCACTGGTGTATCACCCATACCACAAGAAAAGTAAGAAAGGAAAGGAGGGAGGGAGGGAGGGCAGGAGGACGGGAGGGAGGGAGGAGGAAAAAAAGGGAAAAAACTGCAGAAACTAAAAATTTTATAAGCAGTTGACAACATATAACCCGGTAGAAAAAATATTTTTCAATTCAAACTAAAGTTGCAGGAAATCATACAGCACAGATATACTATGCACTAAACTGCATCTAAGAAGCTAAACTTTCCTCTGCAAAGCCAGAGCTTTGAAGGCAGTTCAGGAGAGAACTTAAACCTGTAAGAGTAATATGGAAACAGAAGATACTGCCGTGCTTTTTAGCAGAAATTAAGAACTGTAATGTTCAAACTCACAAAATTACTATACCACAAATGAAGACTATGGACTATGAACGTCAGGAAGAATCGTAATAGTTAAACTTAGAACACTGTAATATCAATAACAGAATTTATGTGAGTCATACAGGGCTTCCACATCCAAATATCAAAATTAACATTGGCTTCTCAAAATTTCACTGTTTCAGAAAATAAATTGCTTTCAAGAGTTGGTGTGATCGATTTGTACTAATGATTGATACATGGGGAAGGAAGAATTCAGCCTCTAAATAATCTACAGGCTCTCCCAATGTGATAGTAGTATCAAGTTTCTTACAACCTCTAAAAATATACCTGAAACTGATTAAATACTGTTCAGTTATCAAATGTGGCTAAGGAATAAGATTCACCATAACATATTAAGTTGAAATAATTACCTAAGCCAGTTTTGAATAACAAAAATTTAAACTCACATTTATACCAGCCTATCATTATGATTCAAAGAAAGGGCCAGAGAATGTGGGAGACCTGGGTCTGACAGGAAGAAGAGAAAAGGAAAAGAGAAAATAGGCTAGAATGCGGCTCAGAAATAGAGAGTTTTCCTTGCACATGTGAGGGCCTGAGTTCAATCCAAGAACGCCACAAATAAATAAATAAATAAATAAAGCAAACCCATCCACCCAAACCCAGTAGTTGTTTGTTTGTCCACGAACCAATTTTAGTTACAGAAAACTGTTTCTAAAAAGAAAATTTAAAAAGGCATAACATAATCAAGAATTTAAAATAAAGGTCCTAACTTCTAGCGATGTATATCTTATTCATAGAACTGTTCTGAGGAAAATTTACCGACTCAAAAGTTTTAAGAGTTTTCAGATTAACCCAGAAAGAATATCTAACAAAATTCCAGAGGGGCAGGGGGCAAAACAACCTATTCATATTTCTCTAAACTGATTACAAATAAATACATACTAGAAATCCAAATATTCGTTCAAGAATGAAGTACTTCTAAACTGAAGAGTTCATGAGTCAAAATACCCAAATACCTATGACAGTTACTGAGCTTTCTCAGAAAAAACAATTATTAATCTGTTCAACAAGGAAGTTTAAAAGCATTTTGCTTTATAATTGAAAGTAGCCTTCTAAGAGTTTATATGCCAGAAGCCAACTCTGTTTCTAAAAGAGAAATGTGATACAAAGTAAATTTTTCTTGGCAACCTTGTACAAGAGCTGTACTGAATGAAATTAGAAACCAAGTGTGATGACAAACTGGAAGCCTTTAATATTAAGTCTATATTAATATGAACTACAAGACTACTTAAAGTTAGGTACTAAAAGTAGTTAACAGCCAAAACACTAAAACCGAAGATGAAAAGAAAAGATCTGTTGAGAGCAAGTTTTTTACATTACTCTAAATTAGAGGTGAAGGAATACAGCAGGGTATTGAAAAAGGAATTTCAAACAACCAGAACTGTTTGATCTTGATTACTCTCAAATTTGCAAACACATAAGCTGCAATTCCTATGAAAACAAATCTATGCGTTCCACTGTCCAAACAAGTCAAATGTAGCTAGCAGTTTCTAGAATGCTGTCACATCGCCACCACTCTTAGAATCCCAGGAACCACTTACACCCAAGCACTGCCAGGGGTCACTCCTAAGAACAGAGCCAGAAAATCTGAGAACCTCCAGGTGTGGTCAAAACAAAACACCAGGCTGCTGCCACTTACCAAAAGTTAACAATAATGCAAGCTTATTATACAGATGGTCACACAAATATTTACCGACATATGGATATACAAAAGTCAGTATCTAAACATGAATTTCCATATTGTCCTCTTTGGGTCCTAAAGGCTGTTAATACCCCAGAGTAACATGGAACATACAGAGTCTGCCTATTGGTTTTTAATACCATTTTCCAATTCAAAGTGCACAGGGGACCACATGGAATGAATTGAATCCAGGTCAGCTGCACGCAAGGCCAGCTCCCTAGCCACTGTATCATCTTTTCAGACTCCAGAGAATAATTTTTAATAGCATCAAAAATAAAGCTACTAGGAAGAAATCAACAAGATAGTTAAGAGGAAAAAATAAGGCACTACATGCAAAATAGCACAAAGGGCTAAAGTGTCTCCCAACCAGAATATCCCTAGTAGCATGACTTGGTAACTGACCCTTGAGCAACAGTCACCAGCAACAGAGAGAAAAAAAACAAAAATCAAAAAAAAAGATATAAAATATTAGGATTGGAGAGGTAGGACAGCAGAGAAGGCACTTGTCTTGCAAGCTGCTGATCCAGGTTTGGTCCCTGTGCCCCACTAGAAATAACCCCTGCGCACAGAGCCAGGAGTTAAGCCCTGCGCATAACTGGACGTGGTCCCCAAACCAAATCAAAACAAAAATATATCTAAACAATGGAGAATCTATTCTGTTCATGAATTGAGGACTAAACATTGTAAAAATATCAATTCTCCAAAGCTCTTTTTTTCACTCTCCATTGAAATTCTGTCAGTTTATTTGTACAGTTTTGAGAAGCTAATTCTCAAAAGTTTTTACATGGGGGCTGGAGCAACAGCACAGCGGGTAGGGCGTTTGCCTTGCATGCAAACAACATGGCCGACCCAGGTTTGATTCCCAGCATCCCATATGGTCCTCTGAGCACCGCCAAGAGTAATTCCTGAGTGCAGAGCCAGGAGTAACCCCTGTGCATCGCCGGGTGTGACCCAAAAACCAAAAAAAAAAAAAAAAAAGTTTTTACATGCAGATACTAAAAGCCAAAAAGCAAGACGTCCCTAAAGAAAACTTTAATTTGGAAGATGGGAAAAGGGAAATCAAAACAGCTTACAAAGCTAGAGTACTTAAGATCAGTATGGGCACAGGAAAAAAGCAAATGATGAAACTAAACAGACAGTAATCTGGCAGTATCCCACAACGAAAGCACCGGCACTTCTAATTCTAGGCAAAAATTCCTAAACAAATTCTTGGAACACACCAGGATACACATAATAGTTTCAAACAGTACTTTCTAACACAGCTGAAAGGAAACAGCCCAAATATCAATCACAGGTTAGATAGACAGACAGATTCTGGTATCTATGGGTTAGCTAGATTGTAGCATCTGAATAGAATAATGTAGCTGAAAAACATACATACATACGTACATACATACATATGACAATCTCTCAAAGTTGAGAAAAAGTGGAATTCCATGTAGAATTTAAAAATACTGGTCAAATAACATTATTTAGTGATATATAATAATACTCAAAGAAAATTATAAAAACCAGAGTAAGTAATTTAAGTTTCAGGGTCAGAAGGAGATACATGTTATTTTAGAGTACTATATAGACTTTAAGACAGAAGTTGAGCACTGGGTGTGACACCAGTGACTGCCAGCAGTTACCTGATAGGTCCAAGCTCTAAATCAGGACCACACAGCCAGATCCAGTACTGCCATTAAGTGGCTCTTGGACCCTCTCTCTGAGCACTGAGGAGCCCTCTCTCAAAATAATCATATGGTCCCCTGAGCACAGTCAGGAGTAGGCCCTGACCACTACCAGATATGGCCCAAATTAATCTCCACTCACCCTATCCCCAACTCTCAAACTGGCATCATTCTATTTCTGGACCTTTGGGGAATTACCCACGTGTGTCTATTTTATTTCTAAAATATATATATCCACTATATACGTGTCTAAACATTTTCCACAAATTTTTTAAGACTACTTTTAAGTCGATAGTATTATAGCATGAACAGTCCCAGCTAAGCTTTCCAATGGCAATGCTTACTTATTCACAATGTACAGAGTACAAACATCTGTATTGTCAAAATAAATCTGAAGAAAACGACATACCTTGTATAGTCCGATGCCTGGATCAATAAGAAAAACACGAGAAGATGTAGACTGCTGACCTGAAGATCCCGCCCTTGGGGTTTTCTTTGCTTTAGGTGGAGGATTAGAAGAGGGTTTGGCATGTACATCTGTCTGTTTAGATGTGCTAGGAAGATCGGCGTCTGGACGAACTAGTAGCTGAATTATATCATTCAGTCCAACATCATAGTCAAACAAAGTATATCCATTTTCCAACTACAAAAAAGATTAAAATGCTTTTCTCAAAATGTGATCTTTACATATTCAGTTTTCCATATATTCTAGCCAAGTATTTTCAATAAAATACAAAGTATTAAAGTCTATGGACTCTGATGTCAGCAATGTCTTCTCTGGAACCCAATAAATCACCCCACATTAGACAACCACCCCACAATGACTACAGGGAATATGTACAGTCACTGAAACCAAAAAGGCATAGATGCTGAAACTCACAGTCTAGGGAAATAATTCCAGATCTCACATCAGTTATTAAAAAAAAAAAAAGCCTAAATCTCCAACTACAGCCAGGGAGTGCAAAGGTTAAGGGATGTTTGCTTGCCTTAGCATCTGCATGTTGCCATGACCCTGATTTGAATTATGGTCTCTCACAAACTCTGCCAGGTGTGGCTTCTGAGCACAGAACCAGGCATGGCCTCAAAACCAAAACAAACAAATCAAAAAGACCGACTCCAAGAAAAATGTGAATTTTGAAATTGAGTTTTTTCATGACCAGGTGTTCATAAACACACTGGCCATTTCATCTTTTTCAAATACTATAATTTTTTAAAAAATAGAACAGAAAAAAATTCAAGCAAGAATAATTATAATTCTGGCTCAAGCTTTTCAACTTGCTTGGAGCTCTCTAATTCAATCCATCTAGAAAGGTCAGTTACAGCAGGAAATGTTCCAAGATGAATTGTAAATAAATTACCTTGCATCACCAATATTTTGGAAAATCCTTTCTAATGAGTTGAACTGTTTCTCTCTCTCTCCCCTAAATATGCTGAAATCCTAAAACAGAGTTTCCTAGAAGTATTTCAGCATATAACTGTATTTGGAAAGAGAGTCTACTGTAGTGATCAAGGTAAAATTAGGCCATGTGGGTGAATCCCTAAGTCCTCTGTGATAGATGTTTACAGAGAGTTAAAATTTGGGCTGTGATTCATTGTAGAGTGAAGTCTTGTGTATGTGAGGACCTGGATTCAACTGCCAGAACTATGGAGCAGGGGATGGGGGCACTGGGCCAGAGTTGAAATTTAGACAGAGAATTAAATATACTGAGTGAAGATGTCAAGACACAGGGAGAAACAGAATGACTGGAATGATACATCTATAGGCCAAGGAATACCAGGAATTGCTAACAAACATCAGAAGCTAAAGGAAGGATTCTCTCCTAGAGTCAGGGAGATAACATGGTCCAGCTAACACCTCGACTTGAGTTTTACAGCCTCCAGAACCACGAGCAATAAATGTGTTAAGATTCTGATTTGCTTTTGTATTTTTAAATAGAAGCCCTAAAAAATGAAGTTACCATTTGTTTTTCTATACAACTCAGTTGGGGCGGGGAAACCCTCAAAATTAAAGATAATAACTGTCACTTTCCCCAAAAAACATTAGTAACCTATAAACAGTTAATTTTCCTTCTTCGCCTGTAATATCAATAGCCACCCAAAACTCTCTAGGTACAATATGATCATATTTGAGATGTAAACCAAAGGAAACAAACAGAAACCAGTCCTGGAATAAGAAGCTTATTAAATAAGAAATTCGGGGCTGGAGAAATAATACAGCAGGTAGGGCATTTGCCTTGATGCAGCCATACTGAGTTCGATCCTAAGCACCCCACAGGGAGCCTTGGAGCCAGCCAGCAGTGAGTGGTCCTTGAATGCTAAGCCAGGAGTATGGCCTGAGGGCCACTGGGAGTGGGCCAAACCATCCCAAAGATATTCAAGTGGTTCAAGAAACATACAGAACTCAATTCAGCTCATTATAGATGTTTAACATGGGATCACAAATTTCCTAGTGTGAGAATGAAATCAGATACTATCTCATAGACTAGTTAACACATTTATTCCAAATAAACCCATAGAATCTTGCAAGTCAGTAAGTAAATAAGTCCTTAAAGGAATAGGGACATTAATACTGCTTACCTTACTTAAAGCAAGTAAGAATGTTGGCTAACCCTGAACTCCTAGGAGAAAAAAACTCAAGAAATAAAACTATCCATTCTCCACTGCATGAACTCCAATCCCATTGAAAGGCAGAAGCACCAATTGTGGAACAATTTAAATACAAATGCTGCCCTTTTTCCCCCTTCAGTGGAAAAGAAATTAAACAGCATAAAGCATGCAAACTAACTTGTATGTGATTTGTCCAAATAAAGTTAGCTGTCACAATGGTGAAATAATTTAAAAAATCTCCCAAATATTTCCACAATCAGTTCCACTGAAATTTGAAGTTCAAGAGTGTGAGTCCTTGGAATCATTATTTACCTTGGGTAGGGAATGTGGGAAGCCCTGGGGAGAGTAGAGAGGTTTAGATCACATCTGGCAGTACTCAGGAGTCCATGAGGTACTAAGGATGGAATCATGGTCATTTGCTTATGCAACTTAACCCCTGTACTATCTCTTGTCCCAGGGAGCACCCTTACATCCACTCGGGCTAGTTGCTAATCAAGCGCGCAGAATAATAGCTGCTTCAAGAGATACTTAGTTTGAGGAACACAATGTCTTGCATTAATTGAAATAATAAGCATATCAATGCATAAGACTCAATAATAGAAGTTCGAAACATATTAACATATAACCACTTGCCTCCAATTATTTCTACTTGGTTAAAAAAACAACTTTTACAAAGATTATCTACTCCTTTCACTAATTTGCAAGTCTTCCTTTTAGTCATACTAAAATAGGGATTATTGTCGTAGAACAGTTGTAAGAATGTTTATAAATATGGTGGTTGAAAAGTACTGAAGTTCTCCTAAATTTAATCAAGGTACATAATAAAAGTTGTCACTTAGATTATCTGGGGGAGAAAGGGATTGGGTCACTTAGAAATTAGACAGTTATGAGGGCTGGAGTGATAGCACAGCAGGTAGGGTGTTTGCCTTACATGTGGCCTAACCCGGGTTCGATTCCCAGCATCCTATATGGTCCCCCAGGCATGGCCAGGAGTAACTCCTGAGTGCATGAACCAGGAGTAACCCCTGTGCATTGATGGGTGTGATCCAAAAAGCAAAAAAAAAAAAAAAAATCAGACAGTTATGAATTTCAGGCATGCTACTATATAGTCTATCGATATTCACAGCAGAAAGTGTGAGAACTGAAACACTAGAACTTGTTTTTCCAGACTGCACTCTTGCATTTGTACAGAAATAAAGGAAGAAATTCCAAGAAACAGGATGAATTGCAATAATGATACAAGAAAAAGAAGTCTTAAGCAAATACTAGTGGGAGTGGCTGAGAAGACAACAGGGAATTTTGGCAAATGTGATGAATTAACTTACTTTCATGTGTCTTTTGATGCATTTATGTCATACTTTAAGCAAATACTTTTGCATTTGTGTGAAAATAAATGTGTGTTGGGGGAAGGGCACAGCAAAAGGTTATTCAGTATTTTTTTCTAGTTCTTTTCATGTTCCGTGTCTATAAATTATTCTAAAACTAATACTACCACAGTACAAGGGAAAGAATAAGAGGGGTAGAGAACACCTACAAAATAGGAAAAGTTCTGAGGCAGGAGAAGTAGTACAGGGTCAAGGCATTAGTTTTGCATGTAACCAATCTTGTTTAATCCCTGGCAGTGTATAAGGTCTCTCAAGTACTGCCAGGAGTGACCCCTCAATACAGAGCCCAGAGTATGTCCTGGTACTGCCAAGAATTTCCTCCCTCCCTCAAAAAATAAAATAAAAAAGTAAAAGAAAAAAAAAGAAAAAGGAAGGGAGGGAGGGGGGAGGGAGGGAGGGAGGGAGGGAGGGAGGGAGGAAGGAAGGAAGGAAGGAAGGAAGGAAGGAAAAATAGTCCTGGAGCCTAAAAAGATTTCCAGATCCACTAATATAACTCACTTTAAAAACAAAAAGAAAATTCCCGGGGTATTTTACTACTTAATGTTTCACTCACAAGTATGTCCAAATAGTTACCCTACTCGAACCTGTAATTCTGAATCAATACTTTGACCCTCCTCAATTACTGCTCCTCAAATCGAAATTACATACACGTCACAAGCAGACCTTGTTAAAATAGATTCTGCTAGAGTTGGCCTGATGTGAGGCTCCCTGTGAAGCTAATGCTACTGGGGTCCTTTTCCCAATCCAAGAACCCTACTTTGAAAGAAACAGAGACAACTATCTCCCCAAATTCATTCTCAAAGTCCAGTTTTCATGAGGATCTTCTATGGGATCTCATTAAGTTAGACCACGCAAAATTCTGGAGAGAACAGAGCACTGATAATAAAGATCCACAAGTGATTTTGATGTACACCAAAAAATGAAAAGTCGGAGACCTAAAATACGGTGGCACGAAGAGAAGGGTGTCTTTCTATCACTGACACTGTTAATCTGTTTTCACTTGATGACTAGTACCCATTTGTGGCAGTAAACTCATCCTGAGGAAAGGCGGACTTTCTTCCAGTAAGCACAAAGGCATTCTACAGTAAAGCAGCAGCCATGTGATGATGCCTGCTACACTACCTCGTCATAGACTGTGGGCTCCAAAAAAAGAGAACGAAGAGAAAAACCACTGTCATGGCTACAGGGAGGCTCACGAAGAAAACCTAGCTGCATGGTCTTCCTGTCTTTAACCCAAAAAGTGCAGTAAGGTTCATTCCTATTGGCTTGTCACTGACCTCTGCACTACACTGTAGCACTGTCCTCCCGTTGTTCATCGATTTGCTCGAGCCTGCACCAGGAACGTCTCACAACAATTTGTGAACTTGTTGTTACTGATTTTGGCATACCGAATACCTCACAGGGAGCCTGCTAGGCTTTGCCGTGTGGGCGAGATACTCTCAGTAGCTTGCCGGGCTCTCCGATACTGGCGGAGGAAGCAAACCCAAGTTGGCCATCTCGGCCGCATGCAAGGCAAACGCCTTACCTGCTGTGCTATCGCTCAGCCCATCACTGACCTCAAGAAATCAAAATACAGTAGCCAGTTATCGACTCTCCTGGTGGAAGGGCAAAAGGCTGATCTCCTTAACAGTCTTTGCCTAAACCTGGAACCAGATTCCCAGATTAGTGAAGCTACCTTGTTGCACAATTTTGACCTCAACACAACGAATTTTATGTATTTTCTTTTATATATTTAATCATTAGACTCAAGGGGAATGGTCCAGGAATACATACTCATGCTTCATTTCTATATCTGGACTGAAGTTAGAATTGTCACAGAATTCCTGTACTTTTGTGCCTAGCAAGAAAATAAAACCTAAAAGCTTGTTTATAAGCTTTCACCTTTGGTCTAAAGATAGACTACATCGCAGTTAAAGCAATTACTTCAAAAACGAAGTTTACAAAGCAAATTACAAGTTTCCTTTATAACTAAATTGAACACTTGTTTTTACAAGTCAAACATAAAAAACGCAACGTGATGCTTACAATACACATCAAAAGATACTGTAACCTATGGAAAAAGATTCAAACCACCCTTGGCTTTTTTAGTGGGATTCTGTTACTCTTAAATTTCTGGGCAGCCCAGGAAGGGTAAGCAAGCCTAAGAAGAGAAAAACGATATTTTCAAATCCTCTGTGGTCGGGGCGGGGGCGATAGTACTGCGCGAAGGGCGCTGGCCTTGCATGTGGCCAACCCTTGTTAGATCCACAGTATCCAACATGGTCCCCGGTCCCTGCCAGGAGTTATCCCAGAATGCAGAATCGGGAGTAAGCCCAGAGCACCGCTTCGTGTGACCCCAAACACCCCGCCAATAAAATAAAACCCTTTGTGACTGTAGCAAAACACCTACTTTCACCAAATCAGAGCTGCGTTTATTTCACACCATAATCCAGAAGCCTAATTGGTCTATGAAATGGAGGGGTCTAACTTTTTTGTGGATGAACTTTCTTTTCTTCTTAAGGCCAAAATGGCATGGGGGCCACGGGGGTGTGTAGATTTAGACCACAAGAGGCTTATGGCTAAGGAAGAAAAAAAAAATCTTCCATAGGGCATCTCAAGGCTACTCCATCCAAGTAAGAAAGACACCCCCAGTCACCCTCACCGCCAAAAAAAAAACGCTTTCAGCCTTCAAATATGTACCCACGGGCTATGTTCCAGTCGCTGCGTTAAAAGCTTGGGCGAGGGCACTCAGAGAAGGTGGAAGGAGAACAAAAAACAAGTTGTTGTTGGTTTCTTTTTTCAAATTTTCCTTAAACTTTCCGATCTGCGGGATCTGCGCAACTAAAACCCGTGCCCTACGCTGGGCAGCTGGAAACCCGGGCCACACCGCCAGGTCTCTAACCTACTCCCCCGCCCCCAGCCCCCATCAGGAATCTAGGAGGGAAGAAGGGAGGGGGACCCGAAGTTCTGCAAATCCTCCGGACTCTACCCTGTAAACAAATCCCTCCCAGCGCCCGGGAGCAGCAGCGCTCGGAAGGGGCAGGAGGCCGACTTCCCCCTCCGATGTCCGAGCGTCGGGAGCGCAGCGACCCGTTAGTTGGCCCGGCGCTGCCCGGAGGCCGGAGTGGCCGGCCCTGCCCGCCCGCGCTATGGCCTGGCCGCCGGGGGCCCCCGGGGCCACCACCCCGCGTCCCCGGGGGCGCTCGGGTAGGGTCGCTTTTCCCGGACGGGCAGGGAACCAGAGCGGCAGCGAGCCGAGCCCTCGACGGACGATGCCACCCGACCCTGGGACGCGCCCGTCGGGGAGGACGCACCTGCGCTGGCGGGCGGGCGGGCAGCGGGGCACCCTCAGCGCTGCGCCCCTCTCGGCGGGGCCCAGGCCGGATGCCCACCCGACGCGGAGCCAGGTGCCTTCCGGAGGGCACCGAGAGCCCGCAGGTCCGCGCTGCCCACGCGATCGGGACTTTTCCAAACCTCGGCGCCGCCCCCAACCCCCCCCCGACCCCCGACACACACACACACAGCCCGACGAGGGGCTTCCCGAGGGGCGCGGCGGGGCACGCCTCACCTGCTTGCCCCGGTAAAAGAGGCGCTGGCACTCGGGCCGCACGTCGAACAGCGCCCACACCCGCTCGCGCAGCTCCTCGATCGTGGCTTTGCGGGACACGTCCTCGATGGTGCGCGTCTGGGAGCCGTCGATGGTGCGAACCTGTATCCACATCTCGGCGCGGGGGCGGGCGGGGGTGCGTGTGTGCGTGTGCGTGTGCGTGTGCGTGTGTGTGTGTGTGTGTGTGTGTGTGTGGTGGGGGGGGGGGGAGCTAGCCCGGCTTTGTCTCCCCCTGCGCTTCGTTCGGGGCGCTGCGCCCCGCCCGGCTCGCGCCGCGCCGCGCCGCGCCGCGCCGCTTCCTCGGGCGTCTCCGGCCGCCGAGCGGCGCCGGGCTGAGCGCGCTCACGCTCACGCGCGGGCAAGATCGCCCCGACCGGACGCTTCGGCCTCGACCGGCGGCGGCGGCGGCGCCTCGCCCGCGACCGCCCGAGGAGCCGGAGAAAGCCGAGCCCGCCGCGGGCTCCGCGCGCCGCGCCCGCAGCCCCCACCCCGAGCCCCGAGGAGAGAAGCCGCCCGGTCCGCGCCGCGCCGCGCCGAGTGTTTACTTAGAGAGCGCTCGCTCGCTCCCACATGGAGGTCACGGCGCCAACCCGGATCTCGCGAGATCTGCGCCCGGCTGCGCCTTAAAGAGGAAGAGGCCCGGGAAGGCGCCCCGGACTCGGGCGGGGGGGGGGGGGCAGGAAAATGGGCGGGTGCGGGGAGGTCGGGAAGGAGGGGAGGGGCCGCCCAGGCGCGTTCTTTGCCCGCAGGCCGGCACCCCCCGGGCCTCGGTCACGCCCTCTTGTCGCCCCCCGAGCCGCCGCTCCGTTAGGCTCCCGTTTTGGAAGCGAGGGGGCCGCGCTTGCCCCACGGGCCTAACGGAGACGCTTCCGGGCTCTCCAAAACGCACCAAAATCTGTATACACGCATTTATGTATTCTTCAATTGATGTGCATTTCTAGGAGCCTGACTCGTGGAGTGCACGGGCAGGCGCGGCCTCAGCGTCCGAGAAAGGACAAGGGCGGTGGGGGCAGCGTGCACCAGCAGCCGGTCAGCGCCCGCCACGCGGCCCGGCGGGACCCGCAGCCCGCCCCGACTGGGCCCCCAGGGACCCTTGTGCTTCGCCACCTCGTTTCCCGCCCGACCGGAAAGCTGCCTTCGCGCGGAAACCTCCTTCCTGGGGTTTCCCGCCGCCCGGCCGAGGTGACGGCCCGGGCCCTGGGGCCGCGGGTCCTGCCGGGATCGAGGCTGTCGCCGCCCGGAGGGCCGCGCGCGCTGCAGGCACCGGGCTCTGCTCGTGGCCCTTTTGTGCGAGTCCACCTCCGGCCCCGGGAGCCGCGAAGGCCGGGCGAGATCCTTTTAGGGGAGGCAGAAGCACACAGCTCTGGAGAAGGAATCGTAAAGACCCCCAGGGGTGAGAAACAGGCCCCACTAGCTGACAGGGAGCTTATTAAAATGAAAGTGCGGCTCCATAAGAAGGGAGAGAGCGTGTGAACGTGGGAGAGGGGGAAATCCACGGCAGTTTGGACTTTGGTGTTGCTCAAAACCCATAACTTGAATGTTCAGGCTGATGTTCATTCTTACGATGAACGACTCCAGCGTTTGGGAAACGATCAGTTGCAATAATTCCAAGCACCGAGAAGAAACCTGGCGTGTCGTTACGTAAAACAGAAAAGGAAAGATGGACCCAGAATGGGAGGGACAGAAAAATGGAAAACATGCATATTTCATGTTTCCACCCATGCTGAAAATTTTTACCTTCTTCTGTATCCTCTAAATTAATCGTGTTGGCTCCTCATTTAAGTAAAGCAAGCATTGAGCGTTCATGGCATGCATAAATGAACGAGATACCGTAACCTGCCCTCATCAGGGAGAGCTATGAGCAGTGAAAAGGTATGCAATGCCCTGGTGGAAACATTAAAAACATTTTTTTTATACTTGCACATATGAAATCTCCATAAAGTTTAGAAAAGGGAAAACATTTGATGACTAATTTAGTACCAAACAAAAGAGGACAATTTGACCAGAACTTGATGACAAGTTGTAATGGAAGCTGCATTTAAATACTCAGTTTACAGACTGAGATAAATCTGAATTGTAAACCCAGATTTGCTACTTACTTAAAATGTGATCTGGGGCAAATTGCTTAGAACATCCAGGAGGAAAAACGATTGACTTGGTGCTTATTCTTTGTCAGTATGATGCAAAGATTTTAGTGCTCTTAGGATGGAGAGGATAGAGATAAGTAGAGAACACCCACTCAGAGAGTATTTAAGCAAAAAAAAGAAAAAAACAAGGAATGCTCCTTTTTAAAAAGAACAAAAATGTCCCCCAGTCTTGATTAGCAGTTTGATGGGGGCCACCAGGACACACCCAGAGGTGCTGGAGAGGTGGGGCATACAAAGACAAGGATTGAACTTGGGGACCCTTGCTCAAGGCAGGCAAGCACTGCACAATTTAAGCTATCTCCCAATTCCTGAAGGCAAGCTTTTTAACAGATTAGAAGAGATTGCATATCAGAGAAAGGCCAACTAAAGGGAGAGGGCAAGAGTGTGAAGATTAGCATGCAAAGAAGATTTTGCTGGCCCCAGGGGGAAAAGTAAGGTTTTTTTAAGGAACCTACTGTTGTGCTTAAATCTGCATTTGGAAAACCTCCGGAGGAATGTGGAAGAATGCCTCAGGGGGAAGTTAAGGGACTGGGAGATGAGACTTCTGGCTGGAAGAGTCAATTTACCATAGAGGCCATTTTGTCTGCTTTGTGAATTTTTTTTGTGGCTTTAAGTAATGAAAGGATAACTTATTCTAAAATATGAATCCTTTATAAGGCTTACAGAATGTGTGAATGTGAGAAATGAGGACTATTGAGTGCTAAGAGTAATTAATTCCCTAGTTTCTAGTTTGGGCGACTTGGGTAGATGTTCTTCATTGTTCTTTAATGTTCTTCATTGAAGTAGAAGCAAAAACAATCTAGGAATTGTAGTGAGCTTCGCACAAGCTATTTTGCACTTGAAATGCATTCAGTGTGGAGAGTTCTAAAGGACAGAAATACAAAATCTAAGTTTTAGAAGGAAGTAAAAATGTGCAAAAGAAAACTAGTCAAGACCTTTGTACTAATTCCCATGAAATGATTTTCACCCCCTCTTAATGTTTCGCCCCAGCTTTAATGAAGAGAACTGATTGAGGGAAGAAAAACTGCTGTCAAAATAGAGTACCCACTGAGACTATGGTGGACTTATGGCAGTCATTATCGGGTTTAAAAGATTGACCCGGCAGGGCTTAGAGACAATTTATCCAGAAACAATGTATTGGCCCTCAGCAAGTTACAACTGGAAACAAGCTTATAAATATATGCTACTTAGTATACAAAGTTGCAAATAGTGATCCTATGTGTTACAAAATATATCCTTTGAGGCTGTAGTGATAGTGCTGCGGGTAGGCGCTTACCTTACAGGTCCTGGCACTACACATGGTTCCCTAAGAAACTCCAGGAGTGATCCCAAGCATGTAGAGCCAGAAATAAGACCTGAGCACCCCTGGGTGAGGCCCACAAGCAAACAACAAGAAATAATGCTATAAGAAGTGAACTAGAGGGGAGAGAGCGGTTTGCCTCGCACATGCCAGGCCTGGGTTTTACACCCAGCAACCATATGGTCCCCCAAGGCCACCAGGCGTGATCCCTGAGCACAGTCATATATGGCCCAATTTCTATTCATCACATAAAAGCACTTTGCTTTGTGGCTCATTCTTTAAACTGGTTTTTTTTTAATTAAATTACCTTGTGATACAGTTACAGAGTTGTTCAGTCATACAAGGTTCCAACACCAGTCCCTTCACCAGTGTACATTTTTCCACTAATGTCCCATTTCCTTGGTTCCACCCCTTACCCCAGTCTGCCTCTACAGCAAGGCACTTTTCTTCTCTCTCTCTCTCTCTCTCTCTCTCTCTCTCTCTCTCTCTCTCCACCACCCCACAACATTTCCTTTTGGGCATTATGGTTTGTAATATAGGTTTTGAAATGTTATTGTATTTGTCCATTTGCTTATTTTCAACACTCAGTTCTTATATAGAGTGATCACTCCCAACTATCATCATAATGGTCTATATTTTTCAAGGTGTACAGTAGGGCGTCTGCCTTGCACGCGGCCGGCACAGCCGAGCCGAGTTTGATTCCAACGCCCCTCTCGGAGAGCCTGGCAAACTACCGAGACTATCTTGCCCACACGGCAAAGCCTGGCAAGCTACCCGTGATGTATTCAATATGCCAAACACAGTAGCAACAAGTATCACAATGGAGACGTTACTGGGCCAGCTCGAGCAAATCGATGAGCAACGGGAGGACAGTGCTATAGTGAACTTTCTTTTAATGGAATCACAGATTTTTGCTGTGTAAATTTAGAGATCATTCCATTCCAACCTTTTTCACAAATGAGAAAATGATTTGCTGAAGGATATGTAATCAATGAGTGGCAGAGTTACAGCTTAACAAACATACCCTATTTTTCTACTTAGATCTTTGCACTCTTTAGCTCTCTTAATTCTCTGGAGTCTTTGTCGAGAAAATATGCCTCATCTTTTCTGCTATGAGTGCCCCTGGTTCTCGGAAGTAGATGACAGCTCTGGTCAGAGTGGGGATCAAAGATTTTTACTAAACTTGCAATTTATCCTCCTTTTTCTGTCACATGTCCTCTCCTGTCTTCTGATATTGGTCCTTTTATTTCTTAAAGTATTTGGATCAGTTTAGCTCAGATTTCCCCCACTACTACAGGCAATTAATATTTAACTTTCTAGTTATCGATTCTAACTTATAGTTTAGCTTCCAGTTAGCTTGTCAAAACTTGCTTGTGAAAAATAGGCTTTATGTGACTCAGGGTCTGGAAAAATAGCACAGTGGGTAGGGTGTTTGCTTTCACGCAGCCGGCATGGCCGACCCGAGTTCGATTCCTCCACCCCTCTCGGAGAGCCCAGCAAGCTACCGAGAGTATCTCGCCCGCACGGCAGAGCCTGGCAAGCTCCCCGTGACGTATTCGATATGCCAAACACAGTAACAACAAAGTCTCCAATGGAGATGTTACTGGGCCCGCTCGAGCAAATCGATGATCAACAGGAGGACAGTGACAGTGATGTGACTCAGAACTTGTTCCCCAAAACATGC